GTAAATTTTAATTTGTTTTTGGTGGGGGGGGGCTGAGTCGATATCGATATATTTAGCTACCGCATTTAAAAATATTTTATTCTGCGTTTTTTTTATTTTTCCATTTAACATATACATATATTCATATGTAATATTTTAACTCTCTTTAACATATTTACAGTATAATAATTGTACTGTAAATATGTACTGTATATATTAAAGAGAGTTAAAATATTACATATGAATACATGTATATGTTAAAATAAAGAATAAAAAAACGCAGAATAAAATATTGTTAAATGCGGTAGCTAAATAACAACGCAAACTTTCAATTAATAGATACTTTTGGAACACAATTTTATTATTAAAATTTAAGTGGTTTAAGTGTAATATAGTCGCGGCGACTAACGTGTTAAACATTATTTCGATCTCTCCTTCTCTTCTATCATTTTCTATTTTAGACGCTATCTGTACTCTGGTGTCGAACGCGTCATATTTTATGCGAGTTATATCTTTATCCTAATGACAAAAACGCGTCAGGAATCCCGTTTAACATATCGCATTTATGTTGTGAACGTGTGTAAGTGTCTTAAAGAACTGCGAGGACTGTAGTGTAACGCACATAAAATATTTTAAATGTCCAGGAAAATATTTAGTAAAAAAGTTACAACATTTAATATTCATGATTATTATTTATGATTTTCACATAAATTATTATTTAAAACAATATTATTTAAAATATTATTTAAAACAATATTATTTAAAATATTATTTAAAACAATCCAATTTTTGATAAAATTTTATTTTTATTTTAATTATTTGCATAAAAGACAAATAAAAAGTTGAATGTGCGCAATTATTTCTCAAATATTCATTATTTTGAAAGCTGCTTAATCTGGATGATTTTTTTGTATTTTACAGATCGATAGAACAACAACTCCGCTGTTGCGCATTGTATTGGTGAGTTAGTCCAATTTTATTTTAATATTTTTAAGGCAATAAATTTAAAAATGATTTAGATTTATACTCTCATGATTAACACAGTGTGGGCTGTATAATATTGCATAAGAGTTTTACTATTTCTTATTAATTTTATAAAAATTTAATTTTGTATTGTATGAAATATTTTAATACCATAGTTTCTAGAAGAAAGAACAAACGGGAGTTTTGAAACGGAACAAACATTTGCGTTTATTATTAAAAGTAGACATTTTTTGTAAAAACGATTATCTTTGAAGCAGAAAAGATATAAGCCTTTGAATTTTTAATTGTATTTTGTGATATATAATAGTTTCATTCAAGAAATTTTAAGATCAAAAAAGTATATCAAGAATGGTATAAAATTCACAATATTTTCATTATACATGAAATTTATATTGCGTATCATGCTTTTTTGCTTCTCCAGAGTTTTTGCTTATTCTCTGATTTCGAGAAATACTAAAGGGAAATTGGGTTGAATCGTTGCGTTGAGACGGTTGTCGTGGTCAGCTAAAAAAGAAAAAATTTCGTGGTTGCCAATTCGAGGAAGCAAATCTGATTAGTTTCGGCGATTTTTCGTACACGTAGTCCATTCTCGTGTAGGATAGAGGAATAAGTATGCTGTTCGTGCGGAAAAGGCTTGTAGTAGATGTTCTACACATTGTGACTGATCAAAACTTTATCGAAATGAACAAAAGAAGTAACGAGAATAACTTGATAATCGAAGTAGTTATTGAAAACGTTGATCGCAATCGTTCCAATTATATTTACGCATATTGTCTCGGCTATAAAAATAATTTTGCAGCTTTATTTTAAGAATTCTTATCTTTATTACTAGCACAGTCATTTGCACATCGAATCTTCGATGATGAAAATAATTAAATTCTACTATATTAATATATTCTACTAAATTAAATTTGCAAATTAATTGAATTTACTAATTATATTTAGTTTAGTGTAGTGTTTTTTTGGATATACCATATATATATAGTCCCTTCTATCTGGTTTTTACTTGTATGAGGATATTGAGCAGTGACCATATCCGCTTATCTCCTCGCGACGTGTCTTTTACGTCGCGCAAATAAAACGGTTCACCGATCTCGTATCAAAGACGTAGGAGGAGCTAGATAGTAGGTTATTACTTTTTACTGCCGCGAAATAGACGTTGGCTGTCTTCGAGAATGCCGTCCCGTTTCCTTTATTGTCATCTACGACAAAATACTTGTATGTTTGTCAAAAGAGAAGAAAACAATTCATACCTCAAAGCGAAGATATCATATTTTGTCGGGATATTAAACTTTTCTTAACATCTATTTGGACTTTGGCGGAAGAGTAACTGGTAAAATTACACCAGATGTTTAAATAAACTTTTATGAAGCTAAGAAAGTTTATATAAATATTTGCCTGGAAGATCTTAAAGACTAAAATTGTCTTTGAAGTGAAACTTGATGATGATGTAACAGAATCTAAAAAACTTATGATACAATCTTTTCTCTCATTATGATTTGATTTTTTGTGACATTAAAAAAAATAAAATTATATAAAATAAATATTAGTAAATAATATTTTCGTAAACATATTTATAAATACACTAAACAGGCAATACATTTTTAATTTTAAAATATGATTGCCATACGATTTAATAAATCTAATTGATTGTTTTAAAATCAAATTTATTAAATTTACTGTATATTGAAATGTAGCAATACATTTTGGAATATTTTCTCTTTTTATTTCATTTTTTTTAACTACTATATATTTTTAAAATTATTTAAAAATTTTATTTAAGAAAGCATGTTCTAAAAACTCTTTCTTTGTTTTAGTATCATAATTTGATGGCAAATTTCAGAAACATTTTATTTCTAGATTTGTTTGATATAATTTTGATTATATAAAACTTTTCCATATTTTTATTGTGAGAAAAATTATTCCCATATTTCTCTAAAAAGACAGAATACAATTTTTTTACGTTCACAATCGTTAACTAGATAATTCTGTGGCTTACCGAATACTATAACGAAGGTCATCTTAACGGTTTTGATTTTCGCCCTGGGAATGAGACCTCTTGAAGACGCCCTTCGGGTATCTCTGGTAGGTCCCTGACGTAGCGCTGCTCCTTGCGACCATATTGTGACCACAATGACCGTGTAACAACCTCCTATTATCAGGGTGGGAACTATAAAGAGGCTGATACTCACTAAGCTCATGTAGATCTTCCATTGGATCGGAGCCAAATCGATCCAGCATTGTGTAGTACCCTATATTTAGCAACAAAATGATTTTTTTCGATTACGTTCAATTTATGAATACAATATGCAAAATTTGCAAAATTCTATGACTAAAAGGTCTTTTTAGAAAATGGGAAAATTATTGCATGTGACATATTGCTTTATCTAACGATGTATGCATTATTTTCTTTAGAGAATCTTTAAAACAAAATCTACAAAAATTTTAAATTTGTGTAGCAATTTTAAGTTTTTTTTTAGCAAGAATCAGGATATATCAGTAATCAGTATCTCAGGATATATATATAAGTAATTGGAATAATTCTTGTATTAAAAAAATATACGTACCTGTATACGTTTCTCTTCGTATAGAAATATAATTGGCATACTGAATAAAGCTGACAGAACCCAAGCAGTAATCACCAAAGCTCGAGCTCGCCACCCTATAATTAAAATTAATTTATGAGTTAGTTATTGTATTCTAGTTTTATATGATGAAGTAAAAGTTATCCAACAAATTGTACATAGATTTAATTTTTATCTCAAGATTTTTAATTTATATATCTAATTTTGGATATATTATATTGTCTTATGATAAATAGATAGAAAAATGTTTAATATAATTTTTATGGCAGCTAATTGCGCAAAAAATGAAAAGAAACTTTAATAATACGATTCTTATAATAGATCATGAAATCGGTTTGAAATATCGGGAGAGAAAACATTTATAAACTATTACATTAACGTTGGAACATAACGATGTAACATAATATGATATTGAATTATTTAATTAATTTCATGAAGTCACGTGGAGAATGATGTATACGTTGCGATTTTACATTTTGACATGTAATCATTATCCTTATGAGCATCGTTTATTCGGATATTTTTCAACAATATATAATTATTATAGTAGCGTCAGTAATTTTCGTGATTCGAGAGCGATATAGAAAGCTGTTATACAATGTCATTGTTGGCACAAGATTAATCTTTCCACTTTAATTACGGCGTACAATTAATAATTAAGAGTCGCCTATAGCTAAAAGAATAATCGTGTGTAGGAATCCGTGACGTAATCAGCTATACTGTTCGAAACAATTCGATTGATTTAATATTTTAATAGATCTGCGATTTAATCATTCTTTTAGTGTCTCTTTGACAATAAAATTTTGACATTCGAATTCCTAACTCTGAAACTTAATAGCTTTGAAGTATAACAAGTGCAAGAATAGCCAGCGACGGAATTAATTTTTATTCGCAGATTTAATTAGAGCTGTAATTGAATTAAAATTCATACGTATTAACTTGAAATACATTTAAAAGTATTTAAAATTATTTTTTGCCGCACATACATACCTTGTTTAATAAATATAAATTTTTTATTAATCTCGTACAAAATTGTGCATTTTTAATAATGCAAGTGTATAAATACACGTTAAATATAAATATCTGTTTTAACGCAATATGATTTCGATCTGTTCTTGAATAAAAAGGTTTTAATTTGCATCATTCTGTAATATCGGAGATTTGGCTAATGGAAAAAAATAATTTATTTGTATTAATCTGGTGATGAAGTATCGAGCGACGTGTGAAGCGTGATTGGTAGTCTAGAGAATCGGACACCTACCAATTTCTGTAATTCTCTACCGACAAGCCACGAACGCGTCGATAGGAGACGGAAGATAAATTTTATTCCGGCGCAGAATACGCACCACAACGATCCGTAAGATGTCTCCGTGTGATAGACGATACGACCATCGCCAGTAGAAAGATAAAAGAAGCGGCGACACTATCCTCTTTTCATCCTTTATCTTGTCGCGTCGCAAAAAGGAGAAAGTAAAAAGACAGAGACCACCGACGTCAAATTACGCGAGGCCAGTTTAAAAAAAAATCCCGCGGCGAAGTTATTACATGATAGGTCACTGGGATAATCTGATTTCCGATGCTGACAGTCGCTGCAGATATCAGAAAGCTACGATATATCTGTAAAAAATCTCGGATGGCATTGATTTTTATTACTTTTTATGTAGCGATTCTATCAAAAGTTCCGTGAATAAAAACAGACGCGCAATGCCCGACGTGGTCGTAGTCAAAGCATTTCCGTGGACGGACGGCAAATATGAGAAATCAAAAGGAAGAAAAGTGGCCTTTGACTCGATACGCTGTCTCTCGGATGACGTAACACGAGGGTGAGTGCATCCCACCGTGCGGTGAGCTGCACTCGGTGTGATAGATGCAGATAAATAGCCTTAGGTCCTTGCCGCGATCAAAAACACTTCGATCGAAACTATATACGACAAAATAATCCCGGTATCATGCGGCAGTGATTTGATTGGTGCGTTAAAAAAAATTATATATTTTAGTTTTATATGATTAATAAAAGTTATTATAATAGCAAAATTAATTATACATTATAAATTCGAGACGTAATACAGGATTTTTAGTTTATATTCGATCTTTCACGTGATAAATAAATACAAACTCGTAGAAATTGGCATATGAAAGTTTAATCATTTGTGGAAGTCGAGCTATTAGGCCTGTTTATTTAGCTCTATTTTATTTTGCTCTTTTTTTATTGTTAGTTAGAAATATTTTTAGGTTTTTTCTTGATTAATCCATGTTTTTGTCTGTGCTAATTTTGCTGACATTTTAAAATATCATTTTTCTTCCGATAACGTTCCATCCACATCACCTTTTCATGAACTTTATAAAATTCTGTAGCGTTAATTTATTAAATTAAATATTTAAGGTACTTTCTACTTATTATACTTAAAATTTGGAGGAAAGTAGCTCTTTGCAAAGTGATCTTCAAGATTGAACATGCCACGATTCACGTTATAGATTCCACTGTGTGTTTAACTGAAGTACCAACTGATTTAATGAATTTATCTTGTCGATAGTACTTTATAATGGGATCTAACATTAAAGGCTGAGATCATACGCGCGTCTATGTACTCACAGCTGCCGGAGAAGTTCATCGGACGAGTAATGGCGTCATATCTGTCGATTGACAGAGCCACGAGGACGTAGGTTGAGCTGTATGTCACTACAGCTTGCATGAACCTTATCAGTTTGCAAGCTATGTTACCGGCATACCACGCAACCGTTGTTCTCCAAATTATGTCCGTTAGTACGGATATTAGGCCGACCAGTAAATCTGCAACAAGATGATAAATTATGATATATCAATTAATGGAGGATATCAATTATTAGTACTATTAGCACAAGATTTCTAATTATCAGTTAGTACGTTGTTAGTACGCCGGATATCTCGTATATCCTCGGATGCACGAGGCTCCGAAATCTAATACTTGATGATCCGCGAATTAATTAGCATATATGTGTAGCATATCCGGAGATCTGATTGATGTTTCCGTATGTTCCCGGAGATATGCTTGCGATATTCCACATGTGGAGAATCGTTTTATTGTAGATAGATAAGTACTTGATTTAGAGTTATAAGCTGATTAATTAATTGAATAGAGCTCAAGATTTTTTTAAATTGTAATAACAGCAAATCATTATATATGAATTTTAGAATTTAATTACATTAAAGAAATGTGTGAAATTTCCGCAATCATAGAGGCGCTGCGGGCGCTGTTATTTAAATTGTGAAAAAAGTAAAATAAAATCTGTTTCTGCAGATTAAGTCTTCAAATATGTAATGCGATTGTTTTACAGTTTGTTTCAACTTTATATCGCATTACCCTGCACTTGTGTAGGACACTTGTGTACCCGAGTCGAAATTTCAGTACCGAATTTTGATCTTCTACGTCCTACTGTTGTAGGACTTAAAGAATCAAATTAGACAAAATTCATACTACATCAGAGGATTTTTTTGAGCCCCGAACCTCGAGTTATTTCCATTTTAGATATATGAAGAATAAAAAAAGGATTTAGAATGCTCTTTAAAACCTTCCAGTCCCATATTCAAAACATAGAGGTGTAAATGAGGCTCTCTTTGCATGTTTTTTAACTCCTACTTAAAACTTCTAAGTATTTATCATTTAATTATTTATTTATTTATTAGATTCTAATTAAAACTTTTATTAATTAACTCTCTTAAACCTTACGGTAGATTTATCTACCGTAATAAATGATTATAATACTCAAATGTATTTTTTAAATGTGTAATTATTTATTAATTTTGTTGAAATTTTTTTAACTTAAAACGGGCGCGACAGAACGTTACGTGGTAATGCGTCTCTAATTTTAGCGTTTCTGTATTATCACATTTACGTATCATAAACATCGTAATAATTAAACGCCATTTCCATGCAATGTTGATTTCCACATGGAGGCATATTGTGCCCTGCGTAAGCTTCATAATATAATGTCGCGGAAGAATTCAATTAGGATTACAGCTTTGAAAAATATAAAATGTAGAATTTTTCATTTATTACGAAATATTAAACACAAACACACACCCATACACTTTATTACACATTATGTGATCTTTAGTTTTTTATTATTTATTTATACTTTTTCAAATATTATAATACTGATTATTTGATGTATTTGAAAAAAATGATTTGCATCGATAACATTTGTCTAATGAGAATAAATCTTGTTAATTCGAACGGTATTAGTTAAAACTAAAGCATATCGTGCTTATTTAATTAATAATTTGTTAAATTTAAAAAATTTAATCCAGTTAAACAAATACAATATCTTTTTCCATGGATTAACACAGATTTATAGACAGATTTGTGCTGATTTGTAATGATTTCAAAAGCATGTGCACGCTGAATTGCTTTACGACTCCTAAGGGACAAATTCCATAGTAATAACTTCAAAGGGCATTATCATCGTTTTCCGGATTCAGGATCGTAAGAATCCTCGAAAAAGGGAGATATCAACCCCATGCTGATTCTCTGAATAAACCAAGCTTATCCATTTTCATTGCTCATATTTTCGCGTAGAGATTTGATTTTGCATTCTCGCGGCCCAATAACATTAGTCGCGATATTAATATCAAAATTGCAGGCGTAAGTTGGGGAATAATTAAATATATAATAAGAACATGCGCAAGTAGTTAATTAAGTTAGAAGACTATCGTTATTACATTACAATTTTGATTAGTACAACAATTTTATTTATATGGTAAACTTTAAATCACTAATAAATGAAAAATTAAATAAAAAATATTATTTTTATCTACGATTACAATATACAATTTTTATCATTTTAGACATTTTATTTCTTTTAATTAATTTTTGAAAATTGAAATCTTTTCTCTACATTAATATCAAACTTTTACAATCTTACAATTTGCTTCACGCAAGAGCTCATATTTTCAAACGGATTTCAGATTTGAGACGGATTTCGATGTCGTTATGTCATTGAACATTTCCAATTTCGAAGATTTGCACTATTCGAAAAGTATTCCAATTCAAGATTCCAGAACACGCGCAGTCCATTTACGGAAATCTTTCCTAAGAATGATCAAATTTGATCGATCTAATGGCTGTACTTTGAAGCACAGCTCTATATATTACCGAAGTAGATATTTTCAAATAATATTGAAATCTTTTAATATTTTTGTGTTTTATAACTTACAGCCAGATTTATTAACGTTTCTTAAACTCTTTCTTATCGATTACTATTCACGTCCAATTCCAAACGCTTGGATAAGAAAAGAAGAAACTATTGTTCAATGAAATTGAACTTTAATATGATTTTATTGATTAGTATAAATCAGAGTCCATTAATAACGAGCAAATGTCTTTTGGCAAATGGCAATATGAGCTCTTAAACATGTTATATATTCATTATTTGCCGTTATTGATGAAATTAATAGTGCCCTTTTATTTGTATAATTGATTACTTGTAAAATTGAGGCCGAACATAATGGAAAAATGAGACAGGATTGTAGTTTCACTGCTCATTAACAATGTTTTATCGTTTCTTTAATAACTCAAGTTTACAAAATGTAACAGAAATAAAAAACAATGATAATGAGGCTTACATAATAGCAATAATAATGCGATTGCAATGCAAATGAAAAATATATAAAACAGAAATTCTTTTTATTAAAAAAAGGTTGAAAAGGTCAAATGATGGAGAAATAGCTACTGCATTAATAATATTAATTCTGCATTATTATCAAGTATAGATTATTATTTGTTATTATAATACGGTAACTTATGTTTATTGGTGAGAAATTTTCTAAAATGACAACGAAGGAAAGTTTAGTATTGTTATATTTCAATAGAAAGTGTTTTGGAGGACGCTGCAATATTCTGAAAAGGAAGTTTCGTATTCTTATCGCACAAGAGTACTGATGTACAGGATCGTTATTTAAAGAGTCTTCTTCCTTCGAGTAAAAACGTTTCATGTCTATTGCGAAGCATATCCGTAGTGACAATCATTATTGGAAATTTTTCAATAGGTATCCTTACATTTGACTTGATTGTAAAGGATCAAATTTCCTATACTCCATACAATATCTGCTCTGTATTTCTTGCTATTATGTTAGCGTGATTTTGATATTATTTGGTTCGTTGCAGAAAAGGGTCTCGTTAAGTAATCAGACAATTAATAGTCAATTAAAATTCTGAGCTCTAAATTTTTTTTCAATTTTTTAAAGAAACAAAACAATGAGAAAATATATCTTAAAAAGTTCCTCTTGTGACTTGTATGATAGAAACGAAAGTGAATGTGTTTTATACATTTAAAATGAGATCAATTTATTGCACTATTTAACTGACCAATTTAATTACTTTTAATAAGTTTGTTGATATGCAACATTTTTTTTTTATTTTCCAACAATATTTACAGCACGTTGCCAGAAAGATAAAGTTTTCCTCAACATTTTTTAGACATGTAAATACTAAATTTTATAAAAACTGTTTTCAACTGCCATCTAACAAAGATCTTAATAAAAGGTCATTTTTTCTCATATTATTTATGTCCCGTAACATGTTACTTTATGCTATAAAAGGTATTCTTCCTCTTCCTTCTTCCATCTAGCAGACATTAACTTTATGGTAAATGCGTCTGCTTTTAGTGTTGCAAGTTTATTACGCGAATAATGCGAGAAAAAGACTGAGCAAAGTTAACCGTTATCTGGTTCCGAAAGCTTTGAGCGAGAAGTGTGTAGAAATTTTTATTCTTATAAACAAAAATCTTTTTAAATAAAAGCGATATATAAACGCTATGTATAATGATACATTTATAAATATCATATTTATGATTAACTGAATATTGTTAATATGCAAGATATATTTGAAATAAAAACAAAAGGAATAATAGAAGAATATACTTTATGACTGCATTGTATGTCTTCTAGCGGAGATATAAACATGAACAATAGTTCGATATCTTTTATTCCCGAATGCATAGCTTTTGTTAGATATTCAAATTAGTTTATATTGTATAAAATTAACAGTGCAATATGCAACATGATATCAATATATTTGCATACATTTACAAATATTTTCGAAAGACAACACTTGAGTAAACATTGGAAAAGAATTGGCAGAAAGAATTTTATCAGTGACGATTATCACGATATTCTGAAAAAGATTAATGAAAAATTTTTATTATTAATGAATATTAATATCGCTTTTCAAGTGTAAATACTCACATAACATGTACGTACAATCAATGCACGCAAATGCATTGCAACATTGAAAAGCATGGAAAAATTTTACACTACATGTATGCGATTGTACGGCTGCGTTTCCGATATCGCATGCATAAAAATACGTCAGCGCGAAAAAGAACGTAGAGAAACGCTTATCTATAAAACGTATACACGAAAGAGGATGTACTATCGTTTTCTGAGAGCTTGGAGTGCAAACATCGAGAGCGAAACGTGTCAAAAGAAAATTATTGCGATCTGTTCATATTTCTTAAACAAATACTTATTGAGAATACAATAATAAGAGACAAAATTGAAATCATGCCTTTTCTATTGTAAAATTGTATTAATTTTTAGTTGAATTAACTATACAAGACTTTTTTAAATAGTGGTTTTATGGTGGATAGATTTTAAATAGTGGATTTTTTAATGTGGCATATACACTTTTATGCTACACGTTGTGAAATTCTTTATTTAAATTGAAACCAATCTTCACAAAAAAAAGCATTTAAGTGAAGCAATGGAAACTTTTATTAAAAGCTATCAAAAATAAAAGCACTTACCCGCAAATGCTAGTTGCTTAATGAAAAAGTCCATCCGGGATTTTCTGCGCTTTCCCAGTAGAAGACCGGCGAGGACGGCGGTATTACCAGCAACTATCATCGCAAATAGCAGCCATAGCACCGTGAACTGCTCTGTCTGTAGAAAAAAAGCATTTGTTTCACTTTATAATGGCAAAACGTTTTGTACAGAAAAGATTCAAGTTACCGTAAACAATTAAATTATTCAAATACGTGAATTACAGTGTATATCTGTATGCATTAATGTATCTCAAATTCCCGAAATCGTGCTGCCGACGAAATCTCTATGAATTACGTAATGATGGATTTATGACTTTCGGCTGCGTATGCATTATTACTGTATTGCATTTCGTAATTTTGATATTGATATGACGGAATCGCATAGCTATTTACTCATCATCTGCATGACTCAGGCGAACAGCTGAATGATGGTTAGTTTGATGGTTAGTTTGATGGGTGATGCATGTGGTCTTGCATCGTGTACATTACATGCCGTGTAACGAGAGAATAACGTGGGGTGTTAATTTCAACATCATTGACATCATGCAGCTCCTCTACGTGTAGTATAAGCAAGTCAATTTGATGCTTCGAGCGCACACACGATGATGCACAGTGCGATTTCACGCCGGTTACCGAATAGACAATCAGAGCATGTTCCTACAAGCCTTTGACGCGAACAAACACTCACATGTATTTTCTTTAAGAAACAACAAGAATCAGTTATAATCCAGAACTTAGGTATTCAATCTTAGATATCCGAGTGCCTAAATATTGATTAGAATTTATTCTTTGGTGTTTACTAATTAGAATTATTTTGAAATAATCATAACTTCTTAATTATATTGTAAACAACAAAATGAAATTTGTGTCATAAATATTTCTTGTTTAAAACTAAAAAATTAATACAATTTGTACAATTGCACGTTTATTATACGGCAAATATGTGCAATACTTGGCAAATAAAGCAGCAAAACATAACGAAATATTTTACGAGCGCATAAAATTAAAAGCAATATTTACAATTGGGAAAATCGACGTTTAAATATTTGCATTTTTAAAAGTATAAATAATAAATCAATCAATTAAATTGACTGATTGTGATCAATACATTTTATTGATAATACCATCTAAATGCCATGATAAAATGTAGGTGTTAGTAATATAACTCGATAATTATTTTAACTTGGAATTCAAACAAAAATAATGACGGTAAAGGCGATTGCTAACAAAGGCAATTTATTAAATTATTTTCGTAATAAGCGGATCAGCATTAAATTTATAACAAATTCATCATAGAATACAAAAAATAATTTATAAAAAATGGCTGTTGTAGATTAAAGAACTTGACATTTTTATTTTTAATAAATGATTAATATTGTACTACATAAAAAAAAACAAAATGTGCTTATTAAGATTTTGATATGATTTTACAAAATTATTTATATTAAATAATTTTGCAAAATTACGCAGATGTATTTTAGGAAAATCTACAGGTACGCGCTGTTTTCATATACATTAAAATTAACATTAAATTAACTTAATTACATTATGATTAACTTAAATTAGCTTAATTAATAATCTGTTTCAATATCGTGAGTTATTTTATAGATGAAGTTTGCATACGAAAAGAATCTCAGTGTCTATCTTGTCATAACTTGGATTATGCCTTTCGGCTCGAGAAGGCTTAGTGCCATTGGTATTCTTTCTCCCAAATGGGTTACTCTCGTATCCGCCCATCGAGCGAGAAAATAATGCCGAATCAACGGAAAGCGTAGACCGCGGAACTACGTGTCCCATTCGTCTCCCTCTCTTTTTTCGCCGCACTCAGCACTAAATTTATGTTTCTGTTCCGCAAACTGCGAATTCCGAAAGAGAGTTATATGACAGTCGATTTGGGTCATCCGCTCTCGCCGGGAATCGCATATCAAATATAGTATCGGTGTGTCCGCTGGTTTATTCGCGAAGCTTGTTGTCATTTGTTTAGTCATGACTAATTTTTAATTTTCCGGATTGACGAACTCAAATTGACTTACAACTTCCAATAATTTACAAATGTAAATTAACACACCATACACGAAGTGGCGTGTTTCCAAAAACGCTTAGTAAATCTTCGATAATATTTGGAGTGGAAATTATTACTGGAGTGGTTATTATTATTATTGGAGTGGAATTTTATTGTGTAAATTATTAAAACGAAATTGTTATTTATCCATGTTTAAGCGTAGATTTATAATATTACATATAGAATATTTATAACATTATATAATCCAGAGAAAGATTAGCAAGAAAAATGATACTTTAATTAAATTTCAATTTTGAATTTATCGAGCTTGGAATTGTTCTCTTGAAAGATTTGTAGATGGATATTCAACAAATTCTTTTTTAGAGAACTGATTTTATCTACAGCGATTTTATTGAAAGACATTTTATTGGAAAAAAGTATGACCGAATGACAAGTTAATAAGATTTCGTTGCAAAACTAACAAACATAAAGGACACAAAGGATTCCTGATCAAAAATTGTTTTTATAACGTTATATAACAAAAGAAATTGTTCAGAAATTGTTTTGCTTTAAATTTTTTTCTTGTGAATAACAGTTTTAAAGAAGATTATTTCGGAATTTTGTGACATTTCGTGAATTTTTTGACACACTTTGTATATTACAGCTTATTAAAGCGTATCTACTTGACTATATTGTGATTGGAAGATGTAAATGTAACTATCTCCGATAACATAAATCAAATGTTTAATTGTGATTAAGAATACATTCTTTAGTGGATATATAAAATTTATCAAGACATTAAGAGTTATCAAAGTTTATTTCTTGTTTATAAGAGAGTGCAATGAAATCTGTAATTAATAAAATATTCGATTATTTTTTCGTATATATTAATCTTATTGCTTACAAATTGAAACTTCAATATTATGACATCGATTCAATTTATGTTATTGATAATTAAGAAAAAAATGACGCAAAGTCCAGAATGGACTTTATATATCAACGTGATCCTCTGTTCGTATTTGGCTTTCCGGTTTCGAATGTAGAATGCAATTACTCAGGTCATTTCGCGCAAGCTCGATATCGTCCGATAAAGTTAATTCTGAGTTTGTCGAGAGAGATACGTGTGTAAAGTTTCGAGCCGTGGTTGCGATCCACGGGTTATACACACTCCGTCATTCCCTATAGACCGTGTTACTAGACTGAAGTGCAGAACGCTGTAAGTCCAAAAAGATATTTTAGTACAGTGAGAAAAGACTATCGTATTAAAAATATAAGTATTGCAGTTAAATCTGCGAATTTGATAAGTCCACGATTGAATCAAGTTTAGAAAAAGTGGAAAACTATAAAATTTATTCACAAGCTATAAAATTTATTTTTTTTGTGTATGATTGTAGATACAACTTGAAATTATGATTTAAAATGTTGAATTGTGTTAGATATAAAGCACACTTCTCTAAATGTTAACAAGATTAAAAGGGGAGAGATTTTTTTATTTGCTTATGCAATAGAATTTGTTCGCATATGATTAAGAACGCGCGAAAAGAATTTTCTACAAAAAGTACCGAAGCAAGTGAAAGATATTCTTGTCACTTGCATCGTTTTACATTCCCGTCCGCCCGCGATTTATCATCGCGAGTTATGCGTGAGCCTGTTTAAGTCGCACATTTGCATGCCCGTTGTGCACGGCGAAAGGCTCTGCCACCGATTGCCAGGCGATTGTTTATTGCTACGTGACCCGAGAGCGTGAATGGGATCGCGTGGCTTGCGAGACGGCGCTTGTCGGAAGCGTCGAGAAGCCCGCGTTTGGAACAAGAAGTGCGGAAGTTTGATGATCAATAGAAATTGATAGCCCACTCGCAAAGCGGAATTACGAATACGCCATAGAGAGCTCCACAAATTTCACCACGGTGATCAAAATTAACGTAATATCTTTGATTGTTTATTGCTTGGAAATAGAAGAATAGCTTTTTAGAAAAAGAATTTTAAAAAATATGTATTTAGATCATCAAATAAATAGTGTTAAAATGAAAGAAATTAAATAACCAATTGTATATTACATAAAAATATTTTGTTATTCTGTTCTATTCGCGAAATCTCTAATCTGAAATTTTTACATTTCGTAGAAAATTATATTGATAGAAATTTCACATGAATTTAAGTAATAGATATGATTTCGATGCTTATTGCATTGAAATCTATTTTAGAAGAATTCCTTATTTTTTGTCTCTAATTTACAAACTATTGACACTCTGAAATTTTCGTTGAGAAGATAACCATTGTTTTTCATTATTGAACTATGATTAAAACAAAATACAATAAAAGTAAGATACTTTGTATATAAGCAAAAATATTTGTAATATGCGAAAAATGCAATATATTATTTTAATAATTTTTATATCCCGAAAACATTGTTTCAACTTGAGCAATTTATCTTGTCTTTTCTGACAATATCGATATCTGATTTTAAGTGCTGTTCGAGGCTTTCTATCATCTCCGTTTCGGCTACACGTCAAGAAACGCTTCGGATCCAACCACAATGTATTTTCTGACATACAAATCAAATGGCGACATCATCTACGCGGATTTCTACGACTCATCATCGACGAGGAAAAATGGCGATAATAAGACAAAGTCACGACGACAACTTCTCATCTGAAGCAGTTTCCGTCATCGCTCCGTAAGGTGAGTTCTTTATAAAACACTTAACCGTATTACAACGTAATTTCACCGATCGTAAAAAAAACAGCCTTGATTTACGGTCTCGTTTCGCCGCGAATATGTGCGAACAGAGTGTTGGGCTGTTTTCGCACAGTATCGGTGAAAGAAGGCCGACGGCAAGCAGTGATGTTAACCCATTTAATCCACCATACACGGTCCGAGTCACTCCCCGTAAAAATCTGTTGCACATAATTGAGCGTTGGCGTAACTTCGCGTAACGACAGCCACATCGAGTGGCAAATCGTTATTAAACGTATCCGCTTTACGAAGCAATAGACTTTACGAAGCTGAAACATAAAATGAAATATTGGATTAATATAAAAATTACGGGCGGTTATTATTGCTCTCTTATTGTCGAGATCGCTAATTTTGTGTAAAACGTAATTGTGAAGTTTATC